TAACAAAGTATTACACATTACACTTATTATATGGGAAGGAGTAGGTACACCCCGTACTCCTTCCTTTTTTTGGTGTGGTATACTGAGGCGCTTATTTTAAAGAGTAAGATCATTTTCTCGGWGAGTTTAAATAGTTTTGAAAATATTTCTTTTAGATAATTTCTTTTAAATCATTACGAAATATCATTCTTGAAAAAAATATTTAATTTTTTTTAAGATATCTACTTTTTTAAACTTTCAATAAGTATACATATACTTAATTATATACCAGAAGTTAATTATTTATAAGTAATATTTAAGACGTATAAAGTAACGGGCCAGCATTTTATTGCATTATAGTTTCATATTATAGATATAGGCTGGTATACTGATATATATTGCTTTTCAAAAATGTGTGTTATTTTGTAATGACTTAAAGTTATATAGAAAAAAAAAACATATTTTAAGAATCGCGAGTCTTGATGAAAAAAACGGAAATTTTAAGCGTTAAAAATATGTGGACCTAACTATATACGTCGATAGTGTTCTATTTGAGACTACGCATAATGATGAACAAAAACAAAAAAAATTTACAGGTACAGCGTGGGCGCTCACATCGCAGGGCTGGCGTCCAACTTCATCAACTCGGGAAAAATCGGTCGTATCACTGGCTTGGACCCGACGATCATATTCTACATGAGCAACAACAGATCCAGGGACCTCGATCCCACGGACGCYCATTTCGTGGACATCATACATACGGCGGCGGGCATTCTGGGTCAGTGGGGCCCTAGCGGACACGCCGATTTTTATGTCAACGGAGGCACTTCTCAGCCCGGTTGCGCCAGCGACAGTATCATACGTGAGTGATATAATTGCGTAAATTCCCATGACCGGGAACTTATCAAGAGTATTATTTTAAATACTTTTTAAATATAATCTTATTTAGGTATATTTAATAAAACGTTAGGCGTATAGGTAGTAGGTACCATTATACTGTAAGGGAAGGCTAGAAAATTCGACGATTCTTTTTTTCCACATTGGTAAAAGTTATTTCATACATTATTTAACTTTATTATAAGTCAAAATAATTAATGGATAAAAAAAATTAGCCCAACTTAGTAATGAAATACATACGATTTGACCTTTTTTAATTCCAGCGTGGCATTCCTATAAATGGCTGTAAGTTCTAKAAAATAATTTCAATATTTTTCTGAGCTTGGGCTTGTGTGTAGGTRGCAAAGCCAATATACGGAGCCTTAGGCCCCCAGAAAGAATCTTTAATCGATATTCGTGTAGGTATGTTATATAATGTATCATAAATATTATATGGAAATAATTTTATACTTACCCAAATTATGCATTTTATACATACAGCAGAGGTCGTCGTATTATGTTCTAAATAATGTAGTATTTACTTCTATACKATGTGTATTTTGCAGTAAACGGTCTAATATACTCGTAACTTATTGATCAACAGGTGACGAGGACAACACATAATATTTAGAACAATACGGCTACTGTATTCAAAATGCATAATTTACATAATTATAAAATTATATCCTTATATTTATGATATATTATACAGTATGTATAAATGAACGTCAATAGAATATTCTACTGAAACTCCAAGAATTTACTCAAAGATATAAGTTCGTAAGAAAAACATAATTTTTTTTTAATACGAGTAATATAGTCTATATTATAATATTGAACATGACTAGATTTCTAAGACTAGCCCTCGAAAATATTAGCTATACTTCTGCAGCTAACCAGTTAAATATAAATAATAAATTAACTTGCCCAGCCTTGTCCAAAGGACACGATTATATAAATTATAACTCGGCGATAGGCGACTTATTGGTCGTTGTCGTCCTTCTCCAACGTTTCCGCTATGCATAATATTCGACTAAACACTTGTC